GCACGAACCTTAGGCAATTACCAGCTTACGTCTGAGCTCGCGAAGAAATGCAGAGAAACGATAAAAGAAGATCTCAAAGAGAGAAGAGCACATGTTTTGACGCCGCGGAGGTCGGAAGAAGTATACGCAACGCCCGCTGAAGCATCCTCAATTTCAAGACCAAGATGGCCGCACTTCACCGCCCTGATGGAACCGTAACATCTTCCCGAAGGTCAATGGAGAAAGTCACATGAATTTCGCTCAGATCTCTTTGCGAGTTACGTCCAACCACCATGCCATCTCAAGGAGGACGGATATGTTGCACCATCAATTCTCCCCTTCAGAGGTTCAACATGCTATCATGTCAATGAAAAGCCGCGCAGCAGCCGCTCAGACAATCGCCGGGGGCAGGCGGGCACCGGAAAAATAGATTGCTGATCTTTCGCACCCCGCTCGCGGATTTTTTGGAAAGCAATCAGGACTTTTCGGAAGACCGCTTGCTGAGTTCTCGATTTCTCAGAGATTCAGCAATATATCTGCAAAAGATAAGAGCGAAAAAAATTCAACAGGCGGTCTCTCAAAAATCCGCTGACTCAGCGAGCGGTCTTCCGAAAAGTCCTGATTGCTTTCCAAAAAATCCGCGAGCGGGGTGCGAGAAATCAGCAATCTATTTTTCCGGTGCCCGCCTGCCCCCAGCGATTGTCTGAGCGGGTCCGACAGGATCAAACAGGAACACCTAACACGATTTCAAGTCAATGGAAGACTACCAAGACCGTGTTGCTGTACAAGAAGGGAGACCCCCGCGACATCGGAAATTATCGCCCTATCTGATTATTGTCCACAGTCTACAATCTCTTCACAGAGTACTTAAAGATCGGAAGAGAATCAGACGAAAGACAACCATGTGAGCAAGCTGGGTTTCGGGAAAGGTTTAGCACTATAAACCACATACAACGATTACAAGGCTCATCGAAATATCGCGAAGTACAGGTTGCCGCTCTGTCTCACTTTTGCAGACTTGAAGAAGGCATTTGATTCGGTTGAGACTGAGGCTGTCATCGATGCCTCGAGCAGTCAAAGTATTCCAAAGTATTTCAAAGTATTCTATGTCAGCGAAGCGAAGGTGGTGTAGTTGCCGGCCGTCGATTTCACACCCATGTCATCCCACTCGAGTGTCCGCATGACGTTTTCGAGAGCAGCGCTGGAAAGATAGGCGATATGGTATCGCCTTGTCGTACTTCTCTCTTCACGTCGATGGTGGATGTCCTTGTAGAATGGTGTGATCTTGGTTGTGAAGTCGTTGTACAGCTCACGAATCATCTTGATGTACTGAGTTGGAATACTTTGACTGCTCGAGGCATCGATGACAGCCTCAGTCTCAACCGAATCAAATGCCTTCTTCAAGTCTGCAAAAGTGAGACAGAGCGGCAACCTGTACTTCGCGATATTTCGATGAGCCTTGTAATCGTTGTATGTGGTTTATAGTGCTAAACCTTTCCCGAAACCCAGCTTGCTCACATGGTTGTCTTTCGTCTGATTCTCTTCCGATCCTTAAGTACTCTGTGAAGAGATTGTAGACTGTGGACAATAATCAGATAGGGCGATAATTTCCGATGTCGCGGGGGTCTCCCTTCTTGTACAGCAACACGGTCTTGGTAGTCTTCCATTGACTTGAAATCGTGTTAGGTGTTCCTGTTTGATCCTGTCGGACCCGCTCAGACAATCGCTGGGGGCAGGCGGGCACCGGAAAAATAGATTGCTGATTTCTCGCACCCCGCTCGCGGATTTTTTGGAAAGCAATCAGGACTTTTCGGAAGACCGCTCGCTGAGTCAGCGGATTTTTGAGAGACCGCCTGTTGAATTTTTTTCGCTCTTATCTTTTGCAGATATATTGCTGAATCTCTGAGAAATCGAGAACTCAGCAAGCGGTCTTCCGAAAAGTCCTGATTGCTTTCCAAAAAATCCGCGAGCGGGGTGCGAAAGATCAGCAATCTATTTTTCCGGTGCCCGCCTGCCCCCGGCGATTGTCTGAGCGGCTGCTGCGCGGCTTTTTATTGACATGATAGCATGTTGAACCTCTGAAGGGGAAAATTGATGGTGCAACATATCCGTCCTCCTTGAGATGGCATGGTGGTTGGACGTAACTCGCAAAGAGATCTGAGCGAAATTCATGTGACTTTCTCCATGACCTTCGGGAAGATGTTACGGTTCCATCAGGGCGGTGAAGTGCGGCCATCTTGGTCTTGAAATTGAGGATGCTTCAGCGGGCGTTGCGTATACTTCTTCCGACCTCCGCGGCGTCAAAACATGTGCTCTTCTCTCTTTGAGATCTTCTTTTATCGTTTCTCTGCATTTCTTCGCGAGCTCAGACGTAAGCTGGTAATTGCCTAAGGTTCGTGCTCGTACACGTTGGCGTATTAGCTGCAGAGTCTCCGTTGACAGAGGCTTTCTGTTACTTCTTGGGCTCTCAGCTTCCCTAGCACAATCGTGGAAATGCTGGATAAATTTTTCATATTCCTCGTCGTTGTTGCCGATCACGGTATCTCGCCAAAAGCCGGATATGGAAGAAAACAGGTCCCAGTTGATGATAATCGTGGGGCGGTGTTTCCTGAACTTAATGGCTTTCTCTCCATTCCGTGAAAAGTAGAACTTGGCAGGAAGGAGACGATGGTCCGATAACGTGCAGAATTTTGGAACAACAGCGACATGGTCAGGCAATACCTTCTATTGACGATGATGTGGTCATACACGTTATGGTAATCTCCACCGAGCGATTCCCAGGTCTAGCATCGGGGAGGAAGCTTTTGAAACTGCGAGTTTATGGATAGTCCTCGTCGTCATGATGAACTTGGACAGTCTCTCCCCTTTTTCGTTCCACTGTAGTCCATGGGTCCCAATGTGAGGCTTTGCAGGCGACGTTCTTGCTCCGATCTTTGCGTTGAAGACTGACGATGAGCTTGTAGAAGGTGTGCTCGTCTTTGTAGAACTTCTCCAAGTTCATATCCATCCTCCAGCAAGTTGCGATATGTCTGAACTTCTGGGGAGAAACAATAAACAAAGAGACTAGGTGCGTATGGTCGGTCGCGATCAATCGATGTCAGCCGAATCTCACAAAGTTCGTTAAGAAAATTTGTTTGAATGCTGCTAAATATGTGTACTGGCTAGGAACAGAGGAGTGAAGACGCATAAATGGGGACGTGTTCAGGTCCCACAATCTACCAAACACTGTAGGTTTTATCGATGGGACGCAAGTGCGAATAATTGCACCTTATGAAAACGAGCCGATCACATCAATTGGAAACAATACCATCGATGAACGTCGGCCTTATATGTGACGACAAGTTGAGATTCCGATGGATCAATGCGTCACTCCCTGGATCGGCACATGATAGTCGGGTGCTTCGGGAATTTCGATTCTATTAGGCTATAAAAGATGGTCAGAATGCTGGCCGCTTAATAGGCGATTCAGCTTATGCCGCTGAGTCGTTTCTGATAAAAGTCGTCGAAAACCCTCCTACTCAAGCAGGTAAAACTTACTCTCATTAAAAGCCATGTAATAAAACTTCTCGCCAGAAAATTGGTACATTCGCGCGATATGCGCAGCTCGTTCCCATATTGAACGAGCCATCAGGCTCCTTAAGGATTGATGGAAGATACTGGGAGAAAAATGCCGGTAAGATTTCCTTTATCTTGCAGATGAAAAATGCTGACTTGCAGATACAAACCGGAAATGGCAACAAAAATCATAATTGCCTATGTCGTCCTCCGAAATATTTATGGGAATTAATGAAAGCACGGAGGAGTTAACGGTAGAGCAGGAGCACATAGATTAAAGCTGAAGAAGGGCCGGGAGTATATCTTTGACTGGGAGAGCCCTAATCGTCGGATTATTGCAGACAGTTTTATGTGATAATTTTTTTTCTGAATGTCTTAGCTTATCTTTGTCAAAAGTAACAAAATAAGAACTTCACTGTACTGGAAGTCTCTTCATAGTAAGACATATAAAAAATGGTACTCGAAATAGCTTCAAATGCAAAAAAGATTATGAAAAGCATTTCCATACACATTTTCAATGAACACCATTTTACTAGTATTTATCGCTTTCTCCTGATTAGCGGGGAATATGGGGTGGCGGGCAAGAGAAACGATAGCCCGCGCCAGCTGGTAGTTGCCAGCCGCCACAGCGCGCACGAAGCCACGCCTACACGCGAGAACCCGTACGCACGCATGGGTTGAGCGTTGCATGTGTTAAAGGACGCTGCTACGGAGATTTTCGAAAATGAGCGGGCCTACTTCAGTCTCATTCAACGCCCACATTCATAGTATTTTACTATTTTCTCATATTTGCTGTGTTTTTTCGTTTTTTCTTATGTTCTTCATCGTAATTGTCCTCCCTTACATGTTTTCTACCTTTATAATAGAATTTGATTCTTTTGCGTAGGTTTTTGACGTGTTGTTCGTGAATATGTGTGCGATATCGCCTTTTGTTCACATCACGCCGATATTGTTGATTTTTAGGATCGATATCCACCAACAGCCTCCAATCCTGCCACAATGGTGAGTAATTGCTGTTCTTTTGTTTGTTATTGTTCATTGTCATTTCTTTTTGTTCCTTATGTTCTTTTTTCATTATTATCTGATACAATTCGTGTATGTAGAGTTATTATTCTGCATTTAGGAACTATCTCTGACCCACACCAGCATTCAGTGATATGGTGAGTTCTTTTGATGTGTTTATTTTCTTTGCATGTATGTTTCGTTTTTGTTATTATTTATGATTTCTTATTTCTATAGCCCTCCCTCCTTACTGATGAGTTCCGGGGAGGGCTGTTCCTTATCCTTACATTGTAACCGTCTAAGGGTAGGAACGAAACGGTTGGTTTTTGTTTGTTTGTATTTCTATGCTTATGTATAGTGATGTTGTTGTTAATGAATACTTTTTATTAAGAAAAGTGCTTGTGCAAATCAAAAATATTGAGTAATAGGGATTATTTACAAGAGTGACAACAACATCATGTTTATGCTATATTGTTTGTTCAATTGGTTTTGCTTGTTACAAACGTTGCCATCTTTCTGCAGTACTTCATGATCTGGTTTGTGCTCGTTCTGATTGTGTTTCTTCTTTCGAATCTGCTTCTGTACGCCGCCATCATCTTGAGTATCTTCTCACGCCTTCTCAAATCCCTCCGCCTTAACCGTCTTCCATCCGTGGGTCGCTGAAACATTGCTCAGTGTTTCGCTGAGTTTAAGCTGCAAATGCAAGTCACTCTTTCCATATTGAGAAAGTCTCCTTTAGCGTTAGTATTGCAACTCTTCAGTTCTTCAAGCAGCCTTGACATAAGGGGGTACTTGCATTCTAGCAGCGTGCCTAACTTCCTGAAAACATGTACTCATTCCCTCACTTCACCATTCATCCATCACACCTGTGGAACGCTTCAGCTGCGTTTGTCGTTCGCGTATCCTTGATGCCCCACTTATTCCACATTCCCTTAAAAGGTCCCTCATACCATGTAGACTTCAGGTAGCGCAAGAACTCCTCGCATTTTTGATATGCTTCGTGATTCCTTGGTAAGTCAGGCCGATACAATGATGGGACTCTTTTGTGAAGTGCAGGCGGCAAGAACATGATCCCCTTGATGACGTTCCACCACATCCATACGCTTTTGTCACGATTTACGAATCTTCTCCTCAAATACTTCCTTATTCCTAGCGCATCTTTTTTTCTATTCCATGCCACGGCGAGATGAAAGCCGCACCCTTCGACGGAAGCAAAGGGAAATACTTTCCGAGCTGCACCTATCGAAGCTCTTTCGAAGTCCAATACCACGCGCAATCTATCCAAGCGGCCTGATCTCTGCAGTTCTTCTTTCAGTTGAGCGAATATCAACTCGTACGTCCTCTCGTTCTTGGTAGTGGTGATGGCATACAGGAGGGGAGCGTCCATGGTGTCGTTGCATACTCCGTGCACAGTGTAGAGCTGTCCACATTTGGCTGTTGCATCGGGCTGGAGATCGTGCACGCCGTCCGCTACAAGTGCGTACAGCCCAAACCTCTGCGCCTTCTACAATCATATTTGCTAGGGGTATCACAAAGTTGTTTAGTAGCCTACTTCGATGGTTGTGGTTGAGTAATACATATGCAGATCTGGAGTCTGGAACTGCAGGAATCTTTCGCCATCGGAGAAGTGGGAGTATATGCGAGGTACGTGATCCATAGTGCAGCTTTTATCGTCTAGGCTTTTAATGGCCCTAAAGCTTCTTTCTATTTTTATTATCATGATTCTGTTAATACCTTTTTATGGTGCTGCGCCTTGACTCGTAGCCATCTCTGTGGAAGTAGTGAAGCATGTCGAGCTTCTGCGTCTCGTTCTCGCCCTCGTTTTCTTCTATGTGATTCTCTATTTCTTGCCATGCCTTTCGCGTTGTTGTCTCCACACGTCTCTTGTCCTTTCTGATGTTTTCGCAATCCTTATACACCAGTCTTTCCACTTTATCCTGTGCGATCTTCGCGGGTAGGCAGTCGTGCGACAAGGCAGATGGATCTCCCAGGAACTCGTTGTTGATCGCCTTGACATTAATATTAATGTACATCTTCATTTTCACAGTAACCCCTACAGCTATCATTGTGTTTGTTCCCATGCATTTGCATCCCGTACATCGGTATACTTCATAGGTGGAGTTCGTGCGAAGATGATGGAATGTGTAGCACAACGGACTTCCTAAGTATGTTTATGCTTGAATAAATGCTTCAATAGAGTTGTTTTGTCATAGGAGTGACCTGGTATTGCATAGCGCAGGATCGGGTGTTTTCCTTGTTGACTTCGATCTACTTGTGCAGGGAACTTTGGCGCTTCTAAGTTGAATCCACAACGTCGATGAGGTTGCCTTCTCGGTGGCCTCGATTCTTCTTGTCTTCTCGATGACTGGGACTCTTCTTCGCTTCTGGATTGCTGCTGCTCTTCCCTTCTTGAGGACTGCGGTGGAGCTGATGGAGCGTCAGGTCGTGCATCTACTATGTAATGTAAACCGAGATTTGTATGGTTCCATACTTACCATTGGTATAATTCTGAAGAATCCGTGAAGTTTGCTGCTGTGCTTGCTGCAGCAAGGCTGCATAAGTCAATAAATTCAGTTGAAAGGGTAGCATTCCGGTATTTTGGTGCGGCCTACTCATTTTCCGGTTCTTTATATTGACGTGCTTATCACTGTCAAAGACCTCTGTTTCCCTACGGCCATTTAACAGAATAAAGATGCATACTGCTCCCATAGGTCACATAAACTAGGCCAAACTGTTGAACTCTGACCCAGATAACACCATCATGACTTGATCAGTTAAGTCCTTGTCTTCAATAGTACATCGCAGCAGCAATCATTTTCTTATCTGAGTTATTCTTCCTCATTCTTCCTTCATTCTTTCTCTTTAATCTTGCTTCTTATATGTGATTGATTGTTTCTCTCCATATTTATTTTATCATAGCATAGGACTACTCTTGTATGGTTTTATTTTACAATATCAGTAAATATGCATTTGTATTAAATATTCTTTACAATGTAATAAACAATTTATCAAGAATGTAGGGAATAATTCATTGTAGAAGGAGTTAAGAGTGCTTCTTCTGGCACATTATGGCAGAATTCATGTTTCACACATGACATGGCTATCTCCATAAATCAGCCAGATCCAAAGCATCAGATAATCATAGAATTACTATGATCCAATTGATTAATGATTCTCTAGAATAACGTGGACGAATGCTATTCGAAAAGATAACGTGGACGAATGCGATTCGTACGAGCTACTGTAGTTGATTGTAAACTCGTCCGCCGTGGATGGGCGGCGCCTAGCGTGCATAGGCTATTGACAGACCCCTCCGCCGCGCGCCCCTTATTGCCAGCTATCGTTTCTCTTGCACCACACCCGGGAATATGCAGTCTCGCAATCCATAAAAAAAATTTCCAGACTGGATTAATACTGTTGAAATTTGTGTATGCACTAAAATTTATATGAACACTAGTTGCGGTCCGCGGTCCCTCCCGGACCGAGGATTCAGAATGGCCATAGGATCTGTTCCAAATTGTCTTTTTGCTTACCATTCCTCCATTTCCTTCAATTCATATCTTCTTTTCTTCTCCTACTCCAGCTCCAAATCAATTGCAGCGCTCCTGTGGTGTCTGTGGTGAACTTGCCTTCCTTTTTGACCGCCTAGCTTTGACCGCATCTTTCTCACAGCAAAATGTAATTGATCTTTACCGCCCCTTGATACTTGACTTGGAGAAATGAATGATATGCTTCCTTATCCTAGATGTTAGTAAACAAATCAATAAATCGATAGGAGGACCCAGCGAAAAGTCGCGAAGAGCAGCCTATCTTTTGCACCGTGTCCCATTTATAAGGGAACAAATTTCAGCCTCTTCGGCTCACATACAAAAGAGTCCATAAGACACAAACATCCTGATGAGATGACGCTCACCGGATGTTCGTCTTGCTTCCTCATGCTCCACGTTTCCGAAGCATACGTCAAAGCATGTGGAACCGTCGTGTTAAAGAGATGGGCTCGGAGCCGGGTGTTCTTGGTTCTTCACTGTATCCTCAACTGTCTCGTATGCTCCCCATGCTGCTCGTTTCCTCCTGCTCAGTTCCGAGGCTAGATCGTTCGTTATTTTGACTTCCCGATCCAGATAGACGTAGCTAGAGCTTCGGCGATCGTCATTCCATTAAGCGTAAAAGGAGCATCAGGAACCCATCCGTTTCTCATGAACATCGTCTTCGTCAGATTTAGCTGCAGACCGCTCTTTCCACACACGTCATCAAACTGGGCCAGCATTCGTTCCGTTTGCGTGATGTCCGGTGTAATTAGGACTATGGAAAACCCTAAAGGGGAATTGAAGAATGAAAATTACTATATGCATTAGTTCTTAAAGCTTGAATTGAAATTAAAATGAATTTTTTTAAACACTTTTACACTCAACCGGTTTCGGGGCTTAGAACTATACCGGTGGAGTAGCTTTCTTGGTGCCCCTCTTCAGTAGTTCCCAAGAAAGCGTTGTGTAAATGGTTCAGTTGCAAAACTTTTGAGTGCATTCCTTCAAGAGATTGTAAAAGATAAGTAGAAACGGGAGACTGTCTAAAACTAAGGTAGAAAATGTAAGAGGATGATGCTTAGGAACAAAAGATTGTCAATGACGCTGGCAGAGAATGCAAGAAGATATTGTAATAGTGTGTAACTGAGATCTCGAGACTCATACTGTTGTTATATATTGAGTTTGAATGCGACCTAGTTATTCAGGCGCGCAGATACGGTTGCAATACGTTGAAGATCAAATGTTCTAGCGCTGGTTAACTAAATGCGGAGGCATGGTTTAGTTTTATAGAAGATTAAACTATCATGAGTTGTCATAAATTTGAAAGTTGGCGTTTACCTAATATACAGTTTGATTGCAATATTATGTTGGGCTCCTACGTTCGCAAACAACACGATTGTTGACCTTGTATTGTGTCATATATTGTTCCTATTAACCGGAATCTATCCAGAGTTCCCCTATTTCGTGGACTAATGGTATATGAAGGGCTACATCAAAACCATATTTGCGCAGTATGCAAGGATTGTCTCTTAAAGTATTACATAATGTTCTAATTAATATTCTTCTTTCCCAACCATTTTTCTTACAAAGTTTGCATAATTGCAGTAGCCTGTCTTTGAAGGTTATGTATTCCAAACAGTTTCTGTAAATTCTGAGTGTTTCAGTTTTGAAAGTGTTAATGATGATATATCTTGGGACATTGGATTACCATACCGGGTACCTCAACACTTCAAAGTTGTACGCATCCGTTTTGTTATACAAACTAAATGATATATTGTTATCTATTACTTGTACGTTCAAATCCAAAAAGTTGGTTTCGGTATCATTTGTGTTAGTTTTTTCTATGATAAGTTCATTATGATATATTTCTTGTAATGACTGTTCGAATATAATAGGTTCTTCCGAAATGTGTAAGACATCGTCAATGTATCTGTAGGTGTTGTTGAATCTATATAAGTCTTCCGAATTCCTATTGGCTACCATCCTTCTAACATACTCATATTCCATATAAGCTAAAGTTAAGTCTGCCATTTGTGGACTACATGATGCTCCTTGTGGAATTCCTCTTTCCTGCTTATAGATCACACCCGCAAAGCTTAGATAACTATTATGTAAAAGGGCGTCTATCATATATAGTACGTCTTCTATCTGGTAGTAAATTCCTTTAGCTGTATTTGACTTGGAATAAGTTATTAGCCTATTATTAATTTTTATGAATTTGTATCCTCTCATGCATAATGTTATAAGTTTATGCAAATTTTTTCGTACCACCGAGTGTGGTAGGCTTGTGAACAAACTTGAAAAGTCTGCAGAAAAAACTTTGTAATTTCCTGACTTGCCATTAAGATCCTTTACTACTGTTGTGCTATTGTTAATTGCCCAAAAATGTTTAATTTTACTTCTTTGGAAGATAACATTGCAATAGTTCATGAAATGCTTCCTGATGTGGCTACGTATAAGTGTCAAAAGTTTAGTTAAAGGTTTCAATGTGCTGTGTTTGGCTCCTGTAATGTATCTGAATTTAATTGGCACCTTATGCATCTTCGGAATTCCATAAATTCTTGGTACTTCATTATAATGATTATTTACTTTCACATTCAGCCCTTTTAAAATTCTTTCATGTATTCTTCTTACTTCATCTAGACCCAATTGCGTACGCATATATGTTTTCACTTCACAGTTGATTTGTTCCAACTCCTTCTGTATCATAATCAAATATAATTTTTTGCATGTAAAACTGAAATTGGAGCTAGCCTTATCTGTTGTTGTAATTACAAAGAGTTTTTGTATTTTTTGCAATTCCTCTCTTTTATATCCTTCATTTTCAAGCACTTCCCGTTGACATAGTTTATGAAGCTTTGGCTTAACTTTATTAGTAAACGTCCTTTCTATTTTACTTTCTAAAAGTTCTTCTGCTGAACCACTCAACTTTAGATTACTTCTTATTTTGAGTGCCAAATGATGTGCCAAATTTCTTATAAACTTCAATAAATCTTCTTTCGTCACTAAACGATGCATTCTGTATTTGTAGCCTTTACTAAATATTTGTCTTAATTTTGAATCTTCAATTATATTAATATTCCCTGTACATACGTGCCCCAAATCCACATCAATATACTCTTTGTACAATTTGCATGCACAGTCGTTATTAAGTATATTATTAACGATATTGTTGTTAATATTTCTAAGAAATTTATTGTAATTACATAAATTTAATCCAATGGGTTCATTTAATTCATATCTTATTCCGACTTTCATATCGTACACTTCTTTCTTTTTGTTAGGTACGACTGTAATTATAGCCTCTTTCACATCTCTGTTATTACACAAGTTTCTTAATTTTAACTTGTCAACAACATTCCCAAGGTACGGGACAGTTATGTATACATTGCTGACTTCTTTAATCTTTTGTTCTTTTCCGCTCCAAAATGGTTTCGCTACCAAAGCATATATTTTGTGCTTCAATTCATAACTGAATTTTATCAACTTCGAGTCAAATGTTAGGTCTATTAGTCTATTAATGTCGTGTTTGTTTAGAGTTCTGAAATATTTATATAGATTATATGATTGCAGTTCGTTTATTCTATCAATAATCTCATCAGTTCTGTTAGGACATGTACCTTTCTTTCTTGATCTTCTTTTCTTCCCTCGGAATCTTTGGATATGTACGGGATTACGAAAGTATGGGTGTTCTTTCTTTTCCAAAGGATTTATGGAGTCTGAGATATTGCCATATCCTTTGATTTGGTCGTTGAATCCGAATGGATATGCTGTTATCATGTACTTGATCCATTGCAGTTCTTTATTTCTCAGTTCTATTTTATCCCTTGTGTTTGTACTATCTAGTATATCAATTGTAATTTCTGAAGGATTATGTTTACTAGCTTTGTAATGTTCCACCATGAATGTTGTTGAAGTTTGATTTCGGAAGCTTCTATTGTGTTGATTGATCCGTTGTCTCAAAGTCTGTGCTGTTTCTCCTACATATTGCTGTTTACATGTCAAGCACGTAATCATGTAAACTACATTCCTAGAGTCACAATTGGCTAGTTCTGGTTTATTTGT